CAGCTTTTAGTGATTTGAGACACTGCAACATTTTTATTCATTATGTAATTTTCAAAATTGACATAATCCTTGCAGGGTCGGTGGATGAAGAGTTGGGTATGATGTGGACCAGTGTTGCCATTATGTGTGTGTGTTTACATATGTAAACAGTGTGAGAACTGAGCCATTTGAAGGCGGAATAAATGTGTTACATTATACAGAAGAAACTTAAACATGCAAATATCCAAACACAGGCAGTTGTTGGTTCTCCTGACTTTTTCACAACATGCTGCTCCTACAACCATTTAATTGGTTGTTGGTGAATTGCTGTGCAGAGACTTGTTCCACGTGTGTCTTGCACATCTTGATCTTCACACTTTGAACAGAGACTAAATTGAAATCAGGCATATCTTGCGCAAAAGTGAAAATGTATTCATAGTTGGAGACTCTTTACAGTTAGTATTCCTGTGGTTACCCATCATATTTCCTGGATGCTGTGCTGGGTCCAAAAATTAAATTAGACTCTGTGCTGCTCTGTTGGTGTAAAACTGAATATTTTGTTTCATGACACGTCCCTCCAGTATGGGGATGACTTTGCGCCAGGTGTTGGCGACGCATTGCCGCTTTGGTGCATAACCTTGTCACAAATCTTTGGGCATCATTAGAAATCCATGCAGCCTGGGTTAATTATTGATGCTTTAAGCATGATAGCATGCATTTAAACTGTCCCAGTCATATTGAGTCACTTCACTTTTAATGAAGCTTTAATCCTTGTCTTGTTTGCAGGACATAGTGAATTGGATGGTGAAGAGCTTTGTTCTTCAAAAGGATGATAAGCTGGTAGAGCTTATTATCGATAGATGATCTAATTTTTGAGTGTTGTAAATGTTAGAAAAGAGGTATTTGTTTTTTATAGTGACATTAAATTAACATTTGATTCAGTTGTGTTGTTGGAACATCCAATTCTGTCCAACATTTGATTCTTATGAAGATTTATTTTTGTTGCCTCCTACAAATTTTATCTGAAGGAAATATCCTGATTATTTTTTATTTTGTCTTAACTGTTCATTAATTGGATGAGAAGATGCCCTATTTCTCTTCTTTTCCAAATAGAGTGCCTTTCTCATTCAAATTGTGAATAGCACCTTTAATAGAGAGTGCTTGCGACTATATTCAACCACACGCAGTGTGAAAATTAGTAGATTGATTGTCAAATACACCAGTATAGCTTAACATTTAAGACTGCACTGCTGGCATGAATGAAAATCAAAACTAAAACAAGACATTGATTATAAACTCTTTCTATTGAGGCAGGAAGGAACAGTTATGTCAACGACAAACTGGTTCAAAGTAAAATGCACCACTGAACTTGCTAACATTTTCATAAATAACAAGATAAGGCTGCCTGATCTTACCCAGATTTGGGAAACCAGAGTTGTCAGTGATCAGCAAGGAAGAACACCTAGTGGTCAGATCTGGGAATAGCATGTACTGAACACACTGCCTTGTTTGGCCAACGCTCAAATGCTGAATGTGATTTTATGGTTGGGCTGCACAGTGGTGCAGTTCCATGTTGTCCTTGTGCATGCAAATTATTGGTAAATTGGTCTCTCTAAATTCTCCCCAGGTGTGTGTGTGCATGGTTGTTTGTCCTGTGTGTCTCTGTGTTGCCCTGCAACAGACTGGCAACCTGTCCAGGGTGAACCCCGCCTGTTAGAGATTTTTTGGTATTATCATTTTGTTAAAGTGTTGTTTTCCTGTATAAACTGACCTGGAGGTTACGACTGTCTTCATGCGAGGTAGTAAAACTTTATGGTTCTCAGACCTTAAATTCTTCTTATGTTTATCTGCTCACTTCCTTAACTGATAGTTTGACCTAGAGCTGAACTGGGCTCAGATGGTAGATCAGATATCACACCTGGAACTGAGTTGTTGGTCTGTTTGTGTTAAATGCTTTACGACCTCTGTTGTTTCCTGACTGCCCCATGTGACTGTTTTTCTTTGACAATAAAGAGGGAGCTCACGTGAAAGAATCAGAACGCTCTGTGAACAGCTTGACGAAGCTGTTGATGGAGACTTCTCCTTCTGCAGAAGCTAGACCATATTTAATTCATATACGTTGTCTGTGGTTATTTTATTGTAGGTTCGAGGAAAATACCTAACACCGCCTCTCGCCCAAAATGTTCGATGAAGATGGGAACAAAAAAATGGACAGATTTTTATGGTTGTATGCTCTAACTTTTTTTTATAAATATATTCAAAACAGCAACTTGAGAAAGGTAATGACCTCGTTTGCTCGTTAGACAATGAAGTAATCCAACATGTTTTAAAGCCACTGCTAACACATTTTGACCTGATTGAGCCTGGTTGTGTTTCTGGACAAGCTTTGTTGCCAGATCTCAGTTCAATCTTTAGACAGCTGAATGGCTATTCAGTCCAAGGAGCAATCACAGAGGCATAGCATCAAATCAGTATATACCTCTGTTCCGGCATTCAGTTCACTTTAAGTAAAATCCACCTTGAAACTTTCCAGATTATTTAGAGAACCTGCACTGAACATCTGTACACACTGTTCTTATTTCTCCAGCTCAAGGTTACAACAAATAATTCATCATATATTCATCATTATTTAAGAACATCCAATTAATCACAATTACTGTATTTTTCTACCTGAAATAAATTTAACAACTAACCAATAAAGTTTGGTGCAATTTTATTTGCTCTGCTCCTCTTAAGATTTGGCCAAGCTCATAAAAGTTGGCAAAGTCCATCAGTTTCTTGGTAGAAAAACAAAAAACCCTCCCCAAAAAACTGGATCAGGATATCACAACTTCGCACTGAAAATAGATAAGCTTGGAAAAAAATATATACATTTGGGCCAAAAAACACTTGATTTGATCAAGTACAACGAATATTTAATACTTTGGACCTGAAGAGTGCTGAAGTGTTTCAACTGTTTATCCAGACTCCAAAACTGCGTGTTGAATTAATAGATAGAAAACATGAACAGCACTCAATAAAAATCCACTCTGGCTGCATAAACATTACCTTGTGGAGTCAAAATGAAATTAGAAATAGGGAACTGATGAATCTGTGCACCATCATAGAGCAGCAATGAACAGAATGTATCCTTGAGATGACGAGATCTTTGCTTTGGCACATCAGCAGCCCGTTCTAATCCCTCTTGATCTAACATTGCAAGATTGCCCAACTTTAAACAGTGCCGCCTACAAACTAAAAGCAGCCTGCTAGTCTGGAATAGGTTTTCTTAAATTAAACGTGTTTACAAATGCTGAAAAGTGGCTGAATATTGGGAACTGGCTGTGAAAACATTGCATGTCTAAACTTATGAGTCGGTCCAAAAGGGAAAGATCCCGGTGGTTTATGTCAGGCAAAGGTCAGTGCTGACACTCTCTTAGCAAAACAAGCGACCTTAAATGAAAAAAAAAAAAAAAGAACGAAAGAGATCATTTCACACAAAGACAAACACATTTTTCGAATTTTAAAGTGGAGTGAGAGTGCTGGCCACATGTACGAAGAGAGAATGAATGTTTATCTTTTATCAGCACACTGGGAACAAGTGAAAGGTGAAATCTCCAACGTTAACTCACTGCAGAGAAGAGCAACATCTCTGGTTCACAAAGCCACCTTAACAACCATCTGCATTCCAACCAGCTGTTTTCAGCTGCATGCCAGAAACAAAATAAGCATTTTCTGTATAAACATATGTATTTGGACTTTCCTCAACTCTACTGGGATTTAGACTGGAACTGTTTGCTTTTGTCAGATGAGACTAAGATTGATCTTTTGAGAGGAAAACAATTCAGGTTGGTTTGGAGAATTGTGATGCTCTGGGCTTGTTTGTTTTACAAAGGCATAGATTTACAGAGTATGACACCATGAACTTTATAAAATGTTACAGAATTTGAAATAAAAAAAAGTGCTCTCTGCACCAAATTTAGAAAGTGTTAAAGCAGAAGAATCAATGATGGCCCACTTGAAAAAGCTGGATACACAAGAGGGGCATCAATGATCGTGACACCATTGATCACATATAAAGCAATTTTGCCTTCACAGATGATTTCCTTCCCCACTGAATAATTAAAATCTCACAATTCTGGTTGGATTTTCAAGAACTTTAATTGAGCGATTACGCAACTTCAATGAAAGGCACTTTAATCAACTACAATTTCGAACACATTATCTGCGAATGTCTGAATGTGTCGACTCGTTGCATACACATAAAACTGAACTCAATCCAGAGCTACAATGGAACGGTTTAGAGATCAAGGATATCTGAATGTTTGTGTGTAGACCAAAGATTTCATCTTGGTCTCATCTGGCCACAGCACCTCCTTCAGTGTGTTTGCTCTGCCCTCTATGTGGCTTGAAACACATCCAAAAGGGGACGTTTTATGGCTTTTCTTTCTCTCTTTTTTTTTTCTTGATACTCGTCCAGGAGGGTCAGATTTGTAAATTGTGGACTCTGGTGGGGTTTTGTCCTTCTTCTTCTTCTTCTTCTTCTTCTTCAGAAAGCTGCTTTATTCTTGAACAAACTTTTGAGGCGTTCACAGATCAGACAAACTAATGGGACTGAATTGCTCTGTTTACACTTTTGGTTGGGCTGGATTTTATTTACGAGCACCAGAGTAAAGGGGGACTGAACACATACCTGTAGAACGTTTTATATCTTTTACAGTTTTACTTTCCCCCTCGCAATTATACACTACTTGAGGTGATCATCAAATAAAATTTGAATAAATTTTATTCAAATGTGGAAAAAATAAAACTTCAAGGGTCATGTTTCTCATTATTGTTAAAACATTAAAAAATCATATAGGTATATATATATATATATATATATATATATATATATAAATATATATATATATATATATATATATATATATAGCCTATACACTGATTTTTCTTTTTTTATTTATTTATATATGAAACATAAAAAGCATGCAGGGCTGTCAGCTTTAACTGTTGGATCAGAAGTTGGTCTGTCGGTTTCCTACCTTACTGTAAGACGAGTTTCCGCTGTCACGGTGCAATCAGGCATGCAGAGGGACTACGCTTTGTATCCTGGGGGAAAGTCCAAAGCCATCTTCCACACTGAAGCCCACGACTTCCAGCGAGACGACGCCGCACCGGGGAGAACTAAGATGACAGCTCGCTCCCATGCAGCCTTTTGGAAACAGCAGCAGCCCGCAGCAGCATCCCAGCTCCTTTAAGGCAGACCGAGAGGCGTCATTTCGACAGTTTCCAGATGAATTAGGACTTGAGCGACGAGAAGCGTCGATTTGTGCGCGGAACACTTTTTTTTTCTTCCTTTACGCCTGGTGGAGAGCGCAGTACGCGCGCAGAGTTATGATGAGGGCGGAGAAACACGCTAATTAAGGGAAATCATTTTTCTCCTCCTCGTTCGGATTATTTAGATGCGTAAAAGCTCGCATTGTAATAAAGATGTTACAATGCAAAGGAAGAATAGGAAGAAGAAGCCAAAGAAAAGCAGTCAAAGCGGCGCCCCCTGTGTTTGCCTGATGCGTAAAAGTCGTTTCGTGGAGCGTTCGGGTCCAAAATCTGATTGCGCGTCCAAACAACAACAAACAAAACAAACAAAGAAAGTACTACAAAATGGTCAGATGGAGAATTTCCGTTTCAAGAACTTCAGGTTCAAGTCAGATAATTTTGTTTTGTTTTAAAATCCAATGAATTGAATCGAGCAGCAGCTCCATCCAGGTCTTCTGAAAGCCTTTACACTCGTGGGAATGCGCGAAAGAGGCAGGAGGAGAGAGAGAGAGAGAGAGAGAGCGAAAGGAAGAAAAGAGAGATGTAGAGGGGGATGTATTATCTGCATGTACGCCCAGGAGGAAGAGCATGCATGCGTGTTTCATTTATTTTTAAGAGGAATAACAAGTCAGGGAGCAAATCCTTCCAGGGAGCAGATAACACCCTTGTGACGTCTTTGTTCATATCCATATCCTTGGAGAGAAATAAATGAACACAGAACATGTAAAATACAAAAGAAAAGTCATTGTGAAGCTAAAATTGAGTTTGACTGTGCAAGTAATTTGTCTACTTGGCTGCAATGCACAGTCTGTGTCTTATCTTTCTGTTATTTCCAGCACTGCTTTGTTCAACTTTCCTCCCTCCTTTCTCCCCCTCTCACAAAACTCATGAACTCGCTCACACACACACATGCACGCACACACGCACTCACAATCACACACACACACCCACACCCATACACATCAGGGCAGCAAAAAGCGGTGCAGATGTTGGCATTCGTGTCATTTCCTGTGTTTACATGCAGGAAGTGATTCAGTGAAAACACAGCAGCTTGTAGCTGAGGTGAGGGAATGTTCGCAAAGATGCATTATTTGAACAACATGCTGTGCGTTGAAGAGAGAGCCAGAAACACCCTATCATTTGTTTTAAGTGGCTTGGATTCGATTCGTGAGAAAAAAACAAGAAGAAAGAAAGAAAGGAAGAACCCACAGGCAGCTGAGCACGAACATGGACAAACTGAGAGGTTACGCTAGAGGCGTTTCAGTTTGTCTGTAAAATATTTTCCTTGACCTTAAATGTGACAGTGACATTCACACCTTAGCACTTGCTAAAACGTCTCCCGACTCACACGTTCGCATTCTGTGAAATGCTGGAAAACAAAATAGTTATCTGAACACACGAGGACTTGGGACAGGATCAGAAGAAAGCTGAGATCCCTGCTGAAGCCTGTGGTCAGTTCATGGCTGATGTATTTACATTCCATGCAGGAGAGAAAATTAAAACATACAGAGGCAACAGAAAGGAGCAGAACACGAGGAAGATATCGACAGAGTGTGGGGAAAAAGGCAAAGTGATGAGGAGAGGGGGGGAGGAGAGAAACAAAGCTTTGCATTGTTAGCTGTTATATTTGTTGTTTACAAGCCTGCACAGAGTTGTGAGAATTGCAACAAAAAAAAAAATAAAGTTGTTGCACTTATTGTGTGCAGCTGTGGATGGGAGTGTTCAGTGGAACAATTAAAAAGAAAAAGAGTTACTTAAATCAAGGAGTGATAAGGGAAGAAAAGACACCAGAGAAACACAGGGGGAAATAACTTGAACAAAATGTTGTTCTGAATAGTTATTTTTGGATTTTAGAACGTTGAAATGAGAAAATCGGAAACCGAAGAGTGATGCACATATTGACTAATGCATTTCTCTCTGTTAGTAGTTTAATTAAAGCACCTCAACCCCTTAGACGTCCCTCATTAACATCTACAGTAAGTCAATGAGCCTTAATGTTCCCCAGAATATCTCTTCCTCTCCTAAAGCTTTACTTTTTTCTTCTTTTTTTTTTTTTTTACAAATCTTAAAATAAATCCAATCTGGGGGAAAGACGTTCCTGTCTCTGCAGATGGAAAACTTATTGCTTAAACTCCCTTCTTCTGTAAATAGAGACTCTCGTCTCTATCAGTCCCCTTTTTTAAACTACAGGCCCCCAGATTTACTGTGTGATTTATTTTTAGGATTTTTAAGTGATGAATCAGACAAATACCTCCTCAAATATTTCCAGCTGGGAAAAGATCTAAATAGAGATCACACTTTTGCAATTTTCTTGCAGCCAAAACTTCAAGGTTATACCTTTCAGCTTATTTACTTCCACTTTACCTGTTGTAGCTTTCAATGTTGCAGCTGATTGATGACTATAAAAGAATGTGTTATTTAATAAGCTTTAGAGGTTTTATGATGTTTTTTTCCGTCTTTAGAGCGCTCTACCAGCTCTTTTTGAGTCTGTCTCTTTTAAAAACTAGTTTGTTAATGTGAAGAAATTCAGAGATATTTTTTTTCCTCCAAAGAAAAAAAACAGGTAAATTTTATGGCAACACATATGTGCAGCCTAATTATTCAGTTAGTGGATTTGCTGGCATAAATTGGCATGAAAGGTCGGGATCGGCAAAATTTCTAAGTGGTTGTTTTTTTATTATGTCCAACAAATCCAGAGAGTTGTTGTTTTTTTAAAATATTGATTCTGGGATGTAATTCTCACTCTGCTATTGAAGCTGCAGCTTTTTTACTGCTTGTTTTTTTATTTTCACTTTTATTGTTGTTACAGAAAATACCTATAAAACACATGCCTCTCAGGATAAAACCTCATCAAATGCTGTCTGGCATTTTGACAACATTCAGCATGATGCAGAGGAAAATAATGAGTCGCTCCTCATCAGCAATAGAACATGGCACAGTTCACACAGTGTGTACACACAGAGGGATGCTCGACTATGACGCCTACCTTACTCCTCATGGATCCCCCTCTTCCTCTTCCTCTGCTCTGCCGTCACCATGGATACAATGATGCAGGTTACCGTGGCAGCCGAGTCAATCCCAAACCCACACAAAGGAGCACGTGCGTTTGCTTTGCGTACGCATGTTATGACGTCAAACGGTTAAGTTTCTTTTGGCTATTTCCGGAGGGACAAAAGAAAACGGCAGTGCTCATATTACTATGGTTTCTGTGTTGAGGAATCACTTTTCATCGCTTCACACTGTTCAGTTTCAATTTGGACAAATGATAGGATTAAAATCTACATGGCTTTCTTTATGATCCAAATTCCATCTATAGTCGTCAAAACTGTGCATATGTGAGTCTTAAAATGAATTGTTTTTGTGTTGATTCCACTTTGATGGATGGGGTTTTCTAAAGGTTTGCGGGCTGTCCTGCCATCTAGTGTTCATGTTGCTTATGGCTGATTTAATGTTCAGATCAGGAGCTTCCAAGCCTGCAGACATGATGAGACATCAAAACAAAGTCAAATTGTACCGAATACCACCTGTAAATTACATTTCAGGCAAATGTTTGACTGTCATCCATGGAGTCGGTTGTCTTATTCTATTCTCTTTATTTTAAATGTCTGACTCCTGTTGAGGATCAAACTGAAGTTTGTGTCATTTCACATGTGAAACAAAGTATTGAAGCCAACTACCTAATTGTGGGTTATGAGTATTTATCCACACAAGCATTATGTGTCTTATCCCATGTGGGATTTACTCCAACTTCTTAGCAGTAATCTCATTTCATCCAGTCCCGCCTTCCTTGCCTCCCTACAAGATGCTCTCAGGGACTCTTATACGCACATGAAGGCTACTTTTCCTCATTTAGACCGGCAAACATTCATGTTGTTGGACTACTGCTGTCGTTGCTGTGGAGTCACACTCATAAAACGCCATGGACCCTTCTCCCTCAAGACTACACCCAGCGACACCTTGGTAAGGATAGAAAACCACATAACAGAGAGCTACTTAAAAAATGGAGGATTCAAGAAAAAGTTACAATGTAGAGTCTGACCACAAAGCTGATAATAAACAGCAGCATAATCATAAATATATGATGAATATTATATATTTATATTATATAAAATGTTATCATAGTTTTAATGTTGGTTTGAGAGGACTATGTGGACATTTGTATCGATACTATTGATGATAAAAATCGGTTTTAGTTATGTTTATATGAACTTTCAATGCATTTTACCCTTGCATCTATTAGATCTTTCCATTTTGTTAACTTTAATTACAAAAAGTTAATCTTCACTATACTTGTAGACTGTAGCAAACAGCAAACAAGTGTATGATACAATGTTTTTCAAACATCCAATGATGGATTGGTTTTATGAAGGATTCAGTCGATACAACTTGGAAGGACGTTCTAATTTTATCTGAAAATTTGGTTTCTAGGTCAGTTTTTTTTTTTAAAGAAAAGCTGCAAAGTCTATTATTGAGAGGGCAGACAAACAAGACAAAGAGTTAGCCAAAGGTGTTTAGCTGTCTGAAGGCATTAGCATGAGCTCTGCTGTTTTCGTGGTTTTACAGACACCCACACATTTGAAGCTGTTAAAACCGGAGGCAATTTGGGACAGTATTCACTTATGTCTTATGCAGTTTATTTCTTTAAACTCTTAAATCTTTGAACATTGGTGTGCTTACTATAGTCTAAAAATGAAATGACAGCAAAGATGTTCAAACTGAAATCGTCAGTTAGCATCATGCAGAGGAATTAAACAAATAATTAGTATTGCAAATGTAAACTTATTTTTAAGTGAGGTGAGATTTTTCTGGAAATGCTGCCTGCTTTCAGCTACCTGTCAGCACCTACACCATTTTGCATTATCTTCTGTCTATTCTGTTGAAGCTACAACTAAATGTGAATGAACAGTGAAAAGTGAAAGACGAAGCGAGGCAAACTGACTTTGAATGTCTGTGTTTTGGCTAAAACTGGGGCTAAGCAAGTTCAGCTCCCATTTATTTTAATCCAAGTTGCTCAATTACTGTTAACTTAAACATGCTAATTGTCACCAATTAGTGATAAACACAACTATTATGCTGTGCAGTTTCTTTGTTTGTATTTAATTGTCTTAGTCTGTGCATAGCTTTATATTTTCATAGAAATGTTATTCTTAATAAAATAAACATAATAAAAGGTTTTAAATGTAAAAGTAAAAATGTCAGACCCTACAATACAATTAGTAAGTGACAAATGGCTGTATTTGACCTAGAAAACTGTAAGAGTCGGTCTACTCTGTTCACCCTGCATCACAGCAGACATTTGACTTTTCCCAGCAGGAAATCACAAGTGTAACTAATAAGATTACCGATGACCCCCCTTCCATCAAGGTGCGCCGGTAAGCCAGAGAGGCCTGGCACCGACCCACCCGAGTGGAATGGAGCTCATTAATAAAGTAATTAGTTACACCTGAGTTTAGCCACCTGAAATGCCAGCCACGAGAAAAGGGCTTTTATCTCTGCTCCTGGGGAATAATGTAGCTCATTTCCTGTAAGGGCTGAAGGCAGTCATCTATGAAAGCAGGATTTATCTGGACATTGACTGTCTCCTGTCAGGAGGGTGTGTTTTCTAGGTCACTTAGGATAGGGGAAATGGAGGTGCATTCACTTTTTCTTAACTTGGGCATACATAAAACATTGGGTGTATATGGATTAAGTATTAAATATGGCAAATCGTTGCTTCTATAAAACAGATTTGATGTTTTTTTTATTTGCTTGTTATTTACGGTGAATACAGAAGATGATGGTATGTAGAGTTAAATTCTGCTAATGTACCGCTAAGCCCAATAAATTGTTTTGCAGGAAGACATTTCCAGGGTTTTTCCAGTGTTTTATAAGCCTGGCAGGCCACCAGGCTTTACTTGTGTCCCCACCAGGCTAAGCATTGCTTATTTATTTAAGTAATTTTAAAATGCAAACATTTTTTAAGACTTCATTGTTCATGTTCAGGTATTAATCTTCCAATCTTTCAATAACACATAACTACAAAGTGATATTTTCATATTTCCTGTCAACTTCAAACATTTTTTAACTGAAAAACATGACGGGGTGCTGGATGAATGACTGCCTTGGCACCCATCCACTGGGCTTAGCAAGATTTCTGGGTGGAAACCTTGTATTTATCACATTTTTACCCAATATGACACCACCAGATAAGTCACCATTACTCTCACTTCCTTCTCTCTTTGCAGGTTGTCCTGCAGAATCTGCTAATGTGCATGGTGTGCTTCTACTCTCTCTACTACATTGTGGTCAGTCTTTGCATTGGACTCTTCAGGTAAACACACTCACACACAAATGGTGATGCCAATGGAAAAAAGGCCGGGTCGAAAAGGAACGAAAAGCGTGTCTAACCTACGTGGACACGCTTTATGATGTTCTCTTGTCATTTCTTTAGGGTTCACGAGATCAACAGCTTGTTAACGCCATTTGACTACACAACACAACCGTCATGGCAGAACCCCAAGTACTTGGGTGAGTTGCAGTTGTGGATTCAATAAATGATAACACACGAGTGTTTAGAGAAGTGCTACTTCCAATTCTCCTATCACTCATACTTGACAAAACATTATAGCCACAAATTTATTAGAAACAGCTGTTAGAACACAAATAGCAACCCGACCAATCACTTGGCAACAACTCAGTGCGTTTCGACATCATAAAGACGACAGGCTGAAGTAATGGAAAAGAAAGGAGGTTTAAGTAAATTTCAATGTAGCATGACTAATTATGCCAGACATTGTTGATCGACTGGAATTTTAAGCATAACCATCTGCTAGGTTTTTAAAGAATGGTATAAAAAAGAAAGAAAGTTCAGACAGGAGGTTGTTGTTGGATAAAAATGCCTTATTGATGTCATAGGTCAGAGGAAAATGCCAGTGGTCTAATGGCTGCTCCTGGAAACGTAACGCAATGCGGCACAAATCATCTCCATCTTGGTTTTAGAACATGTGAATGGGTTTTCATCATGCAGTCTTTCTTTGGGATGAGGTCAGATGGGAGATTTGCAACTTATCTAGACGTGAAGCCAACACATCGGCAAGAATTGTGTGACACTTTTATTGCAATATGGAGCAGAGTCTCTTACAGATGTTTCCCAACAATTTGGTACATCAATGCTACAAAACATTAGAGGAGTTTTAAAGGCTAAGAGGGCTCTGTTGTGTTTATGTCTTTAACTAAGAAACATTTAAATAGAAATGATTTTGAGTGTAGATTATCACAGGAAGCACCACTGATTTATGATATGAAAAGTTACTGATAAATCTCTTTCAGTGTTGAGGTTGCTAAAGATTGATGCTACATTTTGCAAGGATGGCCGGAAAGAGCAGTTTCTATAATTGCTACTAAAATACATACACACACTTCAACAACTCAAGAAGTAGAAAACATTTGCATATTTAGCAGAAATTGAATTAAAAAAACAATACATTTGAAGACCTTTTAGGGTCAGTTAAAGAGACAGAGATCCCCTTTCCATTCTGTAATGGCCTGACGAGAAAATGTCGAAGGAAATTTCTGTGTAATTAAGTCAAATATTTCTTCCTTCTAGTTGGGGTCATTTCCACAGAAGTGACTTATGTTTTAGGAGGGCTGGTGTTCGCGTGGATTGTGGAGGAGTGGGTCTGGGATTATGCAATAACTGTCACGCTGCTGCACGTTGGGATGACTGTAGCAGGTAAACACACGTGTGCACGCAAGTGGATGAGTAGGCCAGGACAACTGATAGGATTGTAGGCCTGATTATGTAAGTAGCTGTCATTAGCAAAGATACACAAAGAATTAAGAAATTGCACTAGAACACTACCGTTATTATATAATAGTTTTGATATTTGTTTGTCGTATTCAACCCATTTTCTTGATGCGTTTTTGCAGTGATGTCAGATTTCCCTTCTGCCGAGCATTGGTGGATCGCTCTGGGTAAGGATTTTATTTTCCTACTCATGTCAGCTTCTGCCTTCTTATCTGTTTTTCAATCTCTTTGGGACAGCACACACAAAAATATTTCTCTATCTGTGTCTCTGTCTGAGGAAGATATGACATTTTCCCCTGACTCATCCAACACACCTCCAAATTCATCTGCTACTGTTGACCTTTAAAGCTTCCTCTTTGTTGTTCGCCTGCTGCCGTTCATCTCCTTCCATATCTCTGCAGGTTCGGGCCTGGTCATGATGATATTCGGAGGACAGCTCCTGGCCTACAAACTCTTCAGGAACAACTTTGTCTATCCTGCTGAACTGCAGAACTTCTAATAAAAACAAGGAAAGCTTTTAACTGGCTTAATGGGTAATCCCAGGTCAGAAGTGTGCCAGTCAGTTCTCCTTCCGTTTCACTGTTTAATCCATGTTTATGCTGGTGTAGCAAAGTAAAGCCTTGCGGATAAGAACATAAACGTACATGTATATTGTTTGTATTTCATAGCATGGATTAGGCAGTAGGCTGCTCCGAACTGTTAAAATAGCTTCACTTTGCCTATTGAGCGCCACTTTTTTACTTATTAAAAGTACTATTTTGTATTGTCTATTATCAAACATCTTTCAATCAGCCAACTTTGAGAGAACCAGGTAATACTTTATAGCTGAAACATTTGTAAATCTATTGATAATTATTTGCTAATGCTTATTTCTGACATCACTGTACTTGGGAATATAACTCATAACAGACTTACATTTTGTAATAAAAAATATCAAGTACATAAAGAGAGACGTGGGGAATAAAAACTGTTATGTGGCAACGAGTGAGAATTATTTATAGTTCAGTTTCTTTGTGTTTAAAAATGACTGCGTTCGGCAGCATTATGAAAAGTTTTTGTTCACTAGTGTGTTTTTCTTGTCTCTCTCGTTTTGAAAAGTGGGCAAGAGAAATGATTCATACAATGATTCAATGGCTGCATACGTTTTATAGAACTTGTTTTAGGATTACCACGAGTGGTATGACCACCATAGGTGTGCAGAGTGATATGCTAATTTAACTTTAATAAACTGATGCAGACAGGCAAAAATAAATGTATGTCCAAGTTCTAAACTTTTTCCTTAGTGCTTTACAATGATAATTAGCTCAAATCATGAAGATGGAATTAGTCGTTGAATTCAAAGAACTTGTACTGCATCTTTCTTATAGCTAAGTGTAAAACAAAAATACTTTACACGCATAAAAACACACACATTAAAATGACCACGCTGAGCAAGAACAAGTAGTTATAAAATTGGTGATAAAACAGAAGAATTAGACAGATATAAGTTTACCAATCATAAGAAATTCATCATCCATATAATGTCCAACAAACTGCTTCTCCAACTTTGGGTCCATTTTGCTTCATTCCTTCTGCCAAGCCTTGGTTTTCCGCAGTTTCTGTATTTATTGCATGACCATTATGGGTCCTCATGATTTTTTCAACAAGTAAAGGAAACATAATTTGATTTTTAAAAAAAATATAATTTAATCTCAGTTTGTGAAAATAGTATTTTGAGTATGCTATCACCCTGAGACGCTGAGTGCAGAGTGACAATCTGATATAAAAATATTTCCAAAAACCCTGAATCCTTTAAGCTGATTGGTCAGTAAACTGAGCAGGAAGTTGTTGAACCAGAACGTCCTCGTGCGAGGAGTCAGTTGAACCAATCAGCTTAAACCAGGAAAAAAAAAAAAAAAGAAGAAAAAAATCATATTACTCCTCTTTACATCTTGAGTAATATTTTTTATGCTGTCTGGACAACTCTGAAGACTTTTGTAGAACTTTTTTTTTTTTAATCAGACGCTAAATGTCAGGAAACGGGTTAGTACCGAGCATCGGGAGGCGGCTAACGACGAGCACGCTGGTAAGTCAACATGCTGGGCTAATTAGCTTTTCTAAAAGGTCACATATTACCAATACACTAAAATTAACTCATATCCTCTTAGGTTAACATTACTACGTCGATCTACGTTGTCTATGGACAACGCTGTTGTAGATACATTTAAATATGTGTGTACTTGTCCTTGATTAACTAGCGCGGATGATTGCTAAACTTAACGTTGATGCTAATCTATTATGCTAAACCTCTTCACATGAGGAGACGAAATAGGTTTCAATTTCAAACTTATGCACTATTGTGACAAACTTTTGTATTTAAAAAGTATGAATTGTAGTCTCCCATGTTGACAACTTCAAATAATATAAATTGTGTAGTTTTAAGCAAGTTATTTAATTATTGAATTCCCATATTGGTTCTTGTTTTGGAACAGCTGACTCTTATTACACATGACCCTAATTGAACCAATAAAGCTCTGAGACCTCATGTTTATAGGTGTTTATTGGAATCATTAAAAGAATTTGCTGATAATAGATTGAGTTTATCATAAAAGTCAGAGCAATTACTGAATACGTTTTGACGGCGCCGAGGTGGAGTGCCTCAATAAAGGTTTTATTGCTTTGAATCAGGACCAGTAAGCATCAACTTTTGGATTCAGAATTTAATAGGAATCAAGGACCTATAAAACAGCACGAAACAGGTTTTTGAAAAAACAAAACATTTTGTGAAACTTTCTTTTCTTATTAGCAGTAATGTGGAACCTACCTTTGAAATACTGGTGCTTTTATTTTGAAGTACTGGAATTTACATCTGTTTACGCCTGTTAATTTTATTTTGATAGTCTTAGCTATCTGTCCTTCTGTCTCTACTTTATAGAGTCCGTTTGAGCAGCTCAGTCGGCAGATGTATGACATCCTGGGCGATGGAGGAATCCTAAAAGAGGTGGTCCAGCCTGGAGAGGGCCCACCTGTGCCTCAAAACGCCTCAGTAATAAGTAGCTACAATAAAAAAAAACATCCAAAACCTTTTTATGGGACATGCTCTATTTTTCAGCTGGTGTTTAGCATATTGTGTCCTCTTCCAGTGTATTACTCAGGTTACTTGGAGTATTCTAATCAACCTTTTGAAAGCACCACACACCTCCAGTACCCTCCAATGATGAAGCTGGGAAGGGGTATGATTCTTTTATTTCTATTGTGACTTTCCATTTCTGTCTGATTAGAAGATGCATTTCTTTCGATCTAAATCCTAATTTTCAGATGTGACTCTTGCCGGACTGGAGCTGGGGCTGTTGACCATGAAGAAAGGGGAGTTCTCTCGGTTCCTGCTCCAACCGCAGTACGCGTACGGAGAAATGGGCTGTCCGCCCTTCATCCCGGCTGCTGCTGCGATTCTGTATGAGGTTCACATCCTGGACTACCTCGACTCGGGTCAAGTGGATGAGTTTGTTGCAATGAGCTCGGTGGGATTTCATTGAAGGACTCTGTGCATAATGGCTTTGTTTTCCCACTTTAATGCAGGGCTTCCATACAGTCAGGAAAAATGTGGAATTTGATTAATGAATGGAGGTTTGGACGCAAACAGAATTGAAAAAAAAAAAACATTCTGTTTTCAGGCTTTATTCCCTAACTTGTTGCACAATAGTTGTCTATCACTCCACTTTATCAGAACTGATAACTGGAAATGTCAGACTAGAAAAGAATAGCATTTTGGGACAGTAAAGAGCTTCAGGAACTTTGTGGAGTTTTTAGTTGAGTTACAGAAATCCGAGGACAACAAAACATGGATCTGTCTGCTTTTGTCCCCAGGAGGAGCAGAGCAGCGTTCCTCTGTCCTCACTTGTTGAAGTCATTGACACACTTCGCAGCTTTGGCAACCGCTTCTTCAATCAAAGCCGATACAACCACGCCAAGGATCGCTACAAACAGGTACCGTAAAAGTCAGTCGGTGTCTGGTGGCGAAGCACCATTCCTCGTTCATATATGCTCTGGTTTGCCAACAGGCGATAACTCTCCTGAGAAATCGGGACTCGCAAAATGAGCTGGACAAGGAGAAGATCCAGGTGGCTCTGCTTCCGCTCTACCTGAACCTTTCGCTCACCGAGCTCCGACTGGCGAATCCCCAAAAAGCCCTAAAGTATGGCAAAAAGGCCTTGGAGATCGACTCAGCCAACACAAAGGCCCTGTTCCGCTGTGGACAGGTCAGGCTGGAGCTTTTGTTTTGAAGTTTGGAGATAAAACTTCGCAGTGTCTGGAGAGCAGGAGATAAATCTGCCATTTAGTGGAGAGCTTGGATTTTTATCTGCTTCCTCAGTTGCTTCTGTTAAGAGTAAACTTTAGAGCAGATCAGAGCGTGCAGCGATTTATTCGTTGGTTATTTTGCTTATGTTTTTTTCACGCAGGCTTACCACGAGCTGCAGGAGTTTGAGAGCGCTCAGGATTGCCTCATAACAGCTCAGTCGAAGAAGCCGTTCGACAGTGACATCAACAACCTCCTGAGGAAAGTAGCGCTGTAAGCCGATATTGTTGCTTATCTTTTCAGGAACTTTTGTTTTGTCGTTGTGCGTATATACCTCTGAAAGCTGGGTTTGAAACTAAAATCTTTGATTTCTGATTGGGCTTCTGTATTTAGTTTTTCCTTTTTGTTTGTTTGTTTTTGTCCTAGGGCTTATAAAGATGGTTTGGATAAAGAAAAAGATATGTACTCCAAGATGTTTAGGGAGCTGAGGAGCTCAGTGCAGTGACTGTGGTGAGAAATCCTGCTAATTAGCCTTTTGACTTTCTGCTAATCATGAGAAATATGGAAAACGTGATTGGGTTTAAATACCTTTCCAAGACTCTTCATAAGAAGAGCGTCACTGTGATTATTTTTTGTGTTAAAAGTCTTGCTAACCGACTGAAACTGCAAATAATGTTGCTGAATACCTGATCTACTTCCTTGTTCATGTTCGCTGAACATTTGCTATTGGTAAATATATACCTAAAGAAGACTTTGGGAGCTCCAATAATATTTAATGAAAACTCTTAAAACTTGGTTTAGTTTTCATCAGTCATCCACTTTTGTTTTTAATAAGTTATTGTAGAAGTTTTATGCTTTTGACTCCTACTTTACTGATTAAGCTGGAGGCGAGTTATAGAAATCTTGAAATTGAGGAACATAAGCCTTGACATTAAGACTTAATGTCAAGGATAAAAATGAACTTTTATGAGAAATTACTGTTAAGGTTCTTGTTTCCCCTTACTAATTTAGTTTGGGAAGAAAGAGCTCACAGTTTCCACTGTATCATAACCACATTAGACAAAAAAAATTAATTGGACAAATTAACCAGGCCTTGTTGACAAATGACGGGTGTTGTGAGCGTTTTAAGGAAATTTACTAAAATCATGTTTTCATTCCCTTTTTCAGGTGTAAAGATTTAACAGCTTCTTTGTTCATGTCCTGCTCTTCCTGCTGTAATAGTTTCTGCTCATGTTCATTAATTTCTTGATGAACATGTTGCTTTTTGGTTGCTGTTCTTTGTAATATATGCACATGTTTTCTTTCTTGCCAAAGTCAGACGTTTGCTTTACCTTTAATCATTCCTGAGGTTAATTTAAATTAAAAAAACAACAACAAAAAAACACTTTTTCTGACTTCTCAGATTTTCTTTTTGGTTCTTTGATGCTGAGTAAAGTATAGAATTTAAATTATTTTAAAAAATCCAAACAATTATGGGACACGGAGGATATTATTCTGAATTATAGTTCCGATTCTTTATGTTTAATTTGGTGTATCAGAATGTTCAACTGGAGATAAATGTGCTCAAAAATAAATAAAAAATAAAGGGGGGCATGTTTGCTGTTTTTGGGGATGTAGACAGTGGACTTACCTTTGGTTCTGAAACTAGGTCCAAGTTGGGTGCCGTACAAATCATTAATACTTTAGATTTTTCACTAAAAGAAATCAGACTGATCTAAGGTACTGTAAGATTATCTTTCAACCTGTACAGACTTTGAAAAGTGTTGAAAGTTAGTTCAGATGTCTCACTGTGATAAATCTCATGTTCCATAATGTTTTGAACTTGAAGGTGATGAAACCTAAATGTGTTTATGTCAGGTGTATGCTGGAAAAAAAATCTAAAAAATCAATCAAAATCTGAAAGAATCAGATATTTTCAAATGCAATATTACTGGAAACCTTAAGTACAAGGAAGAGAATTGAAATTTACAAACCCTGCTTTAATGATGCACCCTACTCAAAAGAGTCGTAAACTCTTCAGTAGGTTATTTGAACCGACTTGGTCGGGATCTATTCTCTGTCATCACAGGTAGCTGTAGCGAACATGTAACTGAAGCCTGTTTTTCATTTGGCTTTTCATTGTCCTCATATCGTCAGTAGGGGGAGCTCTTTCAGCTGTTGAGTTTGTTTAAAACTGTCACAAAGTTTCTTTCCGTGCCAACAAATATGAGGAGTATACCAGAGCCACAACTCACAGCTGACCCCTGTAATATTTCTGCTTCAGTTTAAACACCAACTGAGGGGATCTGGAGTTTTGTTGCTTTTGATCTTACATTTCACTAAGATGAATCCTTTAATTTTGACATCAGCCATCAGTCTTTTAAACAGGGTAGGCCTGACGCCTCCTTCTTTACCAAATGCATGTTTGTGACCTTTGCAGTGAGGCTGATAACATCTTTAAGAAGGAATGCAGAGGAGCAGAAATGACAGGGGCAGATGTATTCAGATGGGAGTTACTGGGCCAACTGGGAATACTGGAACTAAAAGAGGTTGGGATGACAAAAGGATCAGAGACTGGGAGGAGCAGGAAAAAAAAAAAAGTCTGATTGACCTTGCTGGTTAATCCGCTTGCCACAGTGTCTCTGTGTGAGTGTTTTACCACCATTTACCAGCACATGGCCTGTAAGCCATGCTGTGTTAAAGAAAGATCACCAGACTCTGAGATAGACGGACAGAATGGTCTCCAGGATCGTGGAGTGCTTCCATCTTAGGTAAGCAGGTCTAAACCAAGCTGTTCGTTTCAAGGCTTCTGTGTACAAACAAGTGTGTGAACATGCATTAGTGACTGTCCCTTTGCTCTGATCCATGTGTTGTTTCACAGACTTTTGTTTTTTGAAGTCAGCAATGTTCCCGAGAATGAAAATGTATTCTTAATCCACAAAATCTTGTTTCTTCATACAAAAATAATTATATCCAAGTGAGTTTTACTGTACTGTTTGCTTTTGCTGCTCTCTGTTGTTTGCTTGTTTGTTTTTTTTTGTAGAAATTGAAGGATTCTGGTTGTAGTTGATTGTAGCGAGGTCAACAAAATAGTTTCAAACACATGTACAGTGTCACACCACCGAGTACATTTCTAGTTGTTGTTGATGGAGGTTGGACTTCGTAGACAGGTTTCATTTAACTGAACTGATTAAACAATTGTGCAGAAATGAAAATCCATCTTTGCTTAATTAATACAATCAATTATTATTGATGTTCAGTTTATGAATTTATACAAAGTATTCATCCTGTTGGGATGCCAATAGGGATAGTGTTTTATTTACAGTAGTATGGCTCACCACCCAGGGTGCCATTTCATTTGGGCGAAGTAGACAATTGAAACAGACCAACTTTTTCAGAAGTTACATTTTGGTTGTTACAGTGAAAGCAATGTAAGAAAGTTTGGTCATAAACCACTAGAGACTGATGCTAAAGTTAGCTGCTAAGCTGTAACATCGTATGATAATGTGAATGGATATTTCACCCCCTCTTTTTTATTTATTTATTTATTTATTTATTTTTTTTTAAGAAAACCAGATTACATTTGATAATATGTAGTTTAAAATATGAAAGACTAAGACATTATTTAAAACAGTTTCAGATCATTATTCTGATTGTCAATACTCAACAAACTTGTTCAATGTCTTTGCACCGGGTCAAGGTCCCAGCAGGTTCAGTGATGTGGTCTAAAAGTCTAATTTTAATGTACTCACAGCATGCATTAAATTTTTTCCTCTTCAGTTTAAAACTGAAAGAAATTGCACAGTTAAATCCAAACTCATTCATAATCCTGGCAAATTTAAAATATTTTTAATTCAAATTAAATTGGTAAATACATAATTTCCAGTGAAACATCATTTATTGGTTGAATGAAGCTTAAATCTGCCAGGAGAACGAGTCATTTTGGGGTTCACTCACTGCATGCATGCCATTTGGGATGCGGACTTCTCCCAGCAGAAAACAGTCAGTACTCTCATACACCAGGAGGGGGCGGTGTTGTCTCTGGAAAGTTGACCTGCTGATTCGGCCAATCCCTGATCTGCGGTCAGCGTGTAATCCAGCCCCAGTCCTGCTCCTGCGCTCCGGGAGAGGACACACCAGAGGGAACGAGACCAGGGTCCGGACGGAGTGGAGGTTCGAGTCCGCGTGAGTCGGCGACAGAGAAGTCCAGCTATGGAAAGCCTCCGCAGATAGGACCTCAAACACACTCCGAAGCGGAGGCGGAGCTCATCTATAGATTATAGATCGGATGTCAGCCGTGAATGAGACAGACGGAAGACGAAAAAAGGGAGAAACATGAGTCGGCACCAGTCTCAGGGAGTGGTTTTAACGGGTTACCACAGCAACGCCGAGCTGCTACCGCAAACCGGACTATGTGGCGGTTCCACTCCCAGCTGTCCGCCGGTACCGAACCGGGAGCCCGACTTGCTCAGGTGGGAAATGCGACCTGGTATTGTGACCGCAGCTCATTCCTTCAGGGGGGAGCTGAACTATAGCTACGTGCGTCTTGCGTGTTCTCGAGCAAGTGGGCAAAGGTCAGAGTGATGGCGCACTTTTTCTCATTTTGCAGCCTGAGTGGCGTGAATGTGCTGACATTGCAGGAAAGTTAAAACTCAGAAAGCAGTCAGAGCTGTGTGCAGAGCTGCACCACAGGCAGGCACTTTTTTCTTTAATTGTAGCTCCTGGGACCACGCGGCTCCACCCTTGGGCTCGGGTTTATGTTTTTCCTTTACCTCATTTCTAATCAGCAGGTTCACCTTGACTTTGTTGCACTGTGCTAGATTACACAAAGGTGGCTAATTCACAGCTTCCACACACACCTTCAGGTCTAAGGTTAATTAGATTTGAATTGTTCCTTAAGTCCATGGTCGTGTAATTGTCTACTATTTAATTGTTTGACATAATTATAGAGTCATTCTTTATGGATGATTTGAGCGGTACGGTCATTTATTTCTGTTTGTGAAAAAAAAACATGAATGAAAACCGATATTGGCTAAAAGAAACGCTGATGCCCTCAAATGAAAACATTGTACACTAGCTTTTCTATAATGACTAGAAATTTTAAGACTTTAATGAAACATAAAACATGTCATTTATCTGTCATTTAGCTATGATTTATTTTAGAAGAGTGCAAAACTATGCACTCTGGTTATTTCCACAAGTACAGCCATGTTTTATTCATTAAGCCAACACAAAGTAGTGCATAATCGTGAAACAGCAGGCTGATCAAAATATGGCACTGACCTGGTCACTGCTAATGGAGTAGGGTAAGTGTTAAGAAGTTTCATTTGAAGTTTACCAAGTGCCTTCTAGAGAAAAGGGTATGCATTGGGAAGAAGGTAATTTGGTCTTATAAAACAAACTTTGAACTTTCTATCAGAACCCTATGTGGCTGCTGTGGGGTGTTTTTCCATCAGCACCGACAAGAACCAGAAGAGTTTTGATAGGAAGACAAAATATGGGGTAATCCTGGAGGTCAACCTACTAGAGCCAGAGTTACAATGACATTTGTTAGACCGAAGCGTTTGAGTTAGAACGTCCCAGTCAAAGTTCTCACTTCATTCCACTGAAAATTCATGTCAGGGCTTTTGTGAAGTTTAAAGGGAGATAAAAACTTTGCCACAGTTCCAAAACAGGATGCCTGAAATTGTGAGAATATTGCACTGCTAAAGGAAAGAGATGACTAAGCATACTGACTATACTAAACGTTTCATCACCCAAAAAGGAAGGAAAGAGCGCTGAAGTGTCTTCCTTCATAGCTTGGCTGGAATATTTCTCTTCCTATTTGTTCTGTGGGCCTTCTGTGGATTTAACCAATTCAGTGTGATCCTCTTGAAATAAAAACATTTAAACTCTTCTTCACCCTCTATTAAAAAAAATAAATAAAATCACAAACTTTCAGTACAGACTTGCTGATTCAAAATTGTAAATCACTTATTCTTGCGTTGAGCGACATCCTTATTTTTAGGACGTTGCTCAAACAGTTACAGACAAATCTGAGTCCTACGTTTTTACAATATCCTCATCTGTTCATCCTCGTGCAAAATGTGAAGATGCTGCATCAGCAAAACAATCTGTGATGTGGTAAAGATTAGAAAACAACTACCCTTTTGGTTTATATTGATACGTCAACCACTGTGAGTGTGCGGTAGATAAAATGGAGATGCGCGTGTTCCAGATGGCTTGCTTACCTTGCTAAAAAGAAAGAGTCACATTACAGACTTCCTTTGTCTCACCTCGGTCAGCAGTGTGTGTGAGTCCCGTCTAGGCTGACCGGTGTGAGGCTAAGTTTGGAGGCCATTGTTCTCCTCAGGTCAGGAAACGTAAAACAAACAGACCGTAAGCTTCTGGCC